TAATGAGACTTGCTAAACTATAAGGCATTAGAGGAACCTAAGAAAACAGTTTGCACAGACCTTCAGTAATTTTGATATTTCACGAGGCAATTTCATCTGACCTGTAATTTTTAGGGCAGTGTTTTCAATTTGTAGGGTATCACTTCAGATTAGGCTGCCTTTAAGTATTTTAAAAACTCCATTAATAGCACTTAAACTGGAACTTGTAAGCAAAGCTCTCACCTTATGGGAGAAAATTACTACCAAAATCACTAAGGAGAAGGTACAATATTTTAAGCCATATGAAGCAATTTCCAACAGTATGGTTCTTTGCCACTAGCTTTGTATGCCTGTGCATCGGCACTGAAGAAAGCAAAACATCTGACTATTTCTGAGTTCAGAAACATAAAAATGACTATATACATCATTGTTCATGCAAGATGTGGTCACTATTCATATCAGCGCTTTTTCTACTTACATAATTAATACTTTTTTGAGATAAAGTTTACATATTTTGTTCCTTAAAAGTAAAATACACTATTTTATTGTCCTCACAATTACATGTTGTTGCTAGGAAGTTACAATTCTGCTATAACCTAATCATCTGCTATTTAGATATGGAGTCATGAATCCCATATTTTCATTCTAAATTTAAGTTCAGTCATCGTAGCTAATGTCCTTGATGCTATCTCAAATTGCTGTCATTACACGGATCACTAGAAATTGGAGGTAATAGCAAAAAAGAAAAGAAAAAAGAAAGCTACCAAATTAGATGATGGATAAAGGTTTAATCAATTTAATTTTATCACCAAATCCGGTCCCTTCTTCTAGAGCTGTCAGGGCACAAGATAAGCGGAACACATCTTGAAGCACAATGCAATCCTTTTGTGGGGAAGGAGTTGTGTCCCTGAACCTCGCCCAGATGAAACACACTCATTTATTACTTTGGCATTGCAGGATGATGAAGAACCAAGCTGGTTTCCTCCCTTCATCTAGAGCACAATCTTTCTATTTCATTAATTTTTCATGAAATTTCATTTTCACAACCATTTTGCCTCTCTCACCAATTTGCTGCCCTTATTTCGTTTATTCTGTCAACTTTTATTTCGTGTCCCATTGTATCCACAGCAACCTCAGCCATGACTTTTTCTACAGTAGCAGGGATACCTGATCCCCTCCTGTTTCCAGTAATTAACTTTATTCATTAGGTCTATAAAAAAGCATTACAAATAAGGTGACTTATACTGGAAAATCACTCAGAAAGGGTATATATCATTTCATACTTATCGACTTTCTATATGTTGATTTCTAAGAAGGTGCTGGAGGCTGCTGAAATGTGGCCTTTTTAGTATTATCAGTAAATGACAACTCTGCTTTTGTTTGGTCTACTCGTAATCACTTATCTGGGAAAACAAGCCTTGTTTTCAAAATCTATACCACAGGCTATGAAATCGGCACAAGCCGTGCTGAGGCCGCTGTGCTGAGTTCTGCCAGTACTCTGCCATATTCCAGAGTGTTGGAGAAAACACAATAAGAACCCACAAACACAGTAACTGCCTACAAAAACCTAAGAATTTTAAATGGTTCACTCTAAAATATTAGGCATAGTTTTCTAACCTCTGGTCATTTTATACACATAGTTAAAAAGCCACAAACAATGAAAAAAAAAAAAAAAAACCAAAACACAAAATCAACGAAACAAACAGAAAGAGAGAAAAATATAAAATATCTATTACTGCTTCCACACAGAATTAGTATGCAGATGATCTCATAAGCATCTGTATTTATTTTTCATTATGTCTCTGAAAAATTAAGATACTTTCTTCTCACTGGGAGTTATCATACTTATTTTTTAAATGACAATGAAAATATTTCTACCTGCACTAAATTAACAAATGGCTCTGAATATTCACATTTTAGCTTTTTAACACACATCCTGCACGGAGTGTAAAACTGAATGAAATCACTCTGCAAATATATGCTTGCAATATAATATTCCTTGCATTGACATTTATTTTTAAGTCTTCAAGGTAGCATCTTTATACTGAAAAGGTTGTGGATTTCATAAGCATAAAAATAAGATGCATGCAAATTAATTATAGGCCGATGATATTGTACACTGGAGTCATACTCAGTGTCCTACACTTTTCAGTGCTTGGTTTGCATATACGGAAATTGTCTGTCTCTCTCTGATTTTTGCAGCACATGTTTATTATTGGGTTTTTTTAGGCTAAATGCATAAGGAAATTCAGCTACTCAGAGAAGACTGTTTGCTTTCCTTGCTTGAACTTGATTTCTGCCCCCAGGAAACTCCTAAAACAGAGCATCCAGTTATAAAAGAAATGGAGTGAAGTCCTTATACCCAGACACACTAATTTATAATTCACACTAACCAGAACAAAAAACATGACTGAGAAGATGGAAAATAAATCAGATGAGGATAAGCAAAGCTATTAAATAGAAAATAATAATTGTTTCTACTACTGCACATTCCTATATATTCTATCAGGTGGTGTCTCAATCTGATTTTAAGCACAGTTCATATGTAACACGTAATAAAATATATTAAGTTGTATAAATAATTGCGTCCATCTCCTAAGGATTGGGGATTTGAAGATAATATTCTTTCCTTACTCCATCTAATAGTTTAAATTTAACACCACACTGAATTTCTTTGTCTACACTTGTCCATAGATATCTCTCTGTGTGTATGTGTAAACATATATGCCTAGATATACTTTAAACCATCTACTAAAAGCATTCCTGCTATAAACAACAAAACATGTGCTGGAGAATATTTAAATGCAAGCGTCTTCGGTCTAACTCTCTGAAAAGATTTTTCACAATTTAGTAAATGGATCAAACCAGCAAAATAGTGGGGCCCATAATCACTCTCATAAAGACACAGTAATTTACAAGCCTAATAAACACTGTCTTTACTTGTTTCCAGTATAGTGTGTTAAACAACACCTTTTCATTGGATACTATCAAGAAAAAAAAAAAAAGTAGAAATATATGGTCAGTAAATAAAGTAACATAATAGTAAAATCCAACAGGTTTTACACTGGGTGTGCCTAAGTTACAGGATCTTTTTGCCAGCACAATTTTAGAAGAATGTGTATATTTATTAATATATACTGTGATTACATAGAAAAGAAAATAGAAATCATACCAACACAAGCCTGTAATTAGTATACTAGCTAGCTATATTATTTGGAAAGTGGTTATTTGGAGGAATAAACAATGAACTCTTTAAGCACACATTCTTGATGTTGGTCAGTCAAGCACTTTCTGGAATGCCGTCCACCTGCAGCTGTGCAAATAGCTGTCAGCTCCCAAGTTATTGTGGAGCAACTTTTTGTGGTTTTTTTAAAGACATTCAACTTCCACCTTGTTTTGGCAAAACAGAGCAAGAAAGGATGCATCAGAAAAGTCTTACTGAAAGATCCTCACTTTTCTCTGCTTCTCAGAAACAAAATTAACACTTATAATTTACCTGTATAACAGAGCACCTTCCCTCTACTGCATAATTAATGGATTACTCTTTTTTCCCAGCCTAGTAGAGGTAGCTAAAGCTAGGCTAAGTTTGCAATTCCCTAGAAAAGTAGTTTTGCTATAACAAATCAGCATAAAAAAAGTCTGCAGAGCACAAAGGAAATTTAAAAGATCTTTAACACCTCATGAGAAAGTCTACCTTTTATTCTGCATTACAGAATACATTTTAAAACGCTAAGAGAGGGAGAGCTCCCCTACTCAGTTCCTTTAAATTTCCTTGTTACTCAAGTCCTGATAAATCTGTGTGTCTGTTGTTTCTACTTGTACACAGGTTACTATTTATTACTATGATTTTGAATATAGAGAGTTCACAAATGAAAGTTAAAAAGTGACAATCAAATAATACAGTCTTGAATTTCGCACTTGACCATTTCTTATCAGTTACTATACAAAAGCGGTTTTGACACCTTTCTGAAAAGTTATCAAATACCGCACTTACTGGCTTTAATATAAGCAATAACTAAGAGACACTTGGCTAATTGCACCTACAAATTACGTGTTCTAGACTCACAAAGAGAAACAAAGTATCCAGAGCATCAGCTTGCGAGCTAGCTGACTAAAACTTGAGTCCCACATAAAGATTACAATTACAGACTAGATGATATTTACTGCTTCGACAAACACTCCTACTTCGCATCTCTGCAGTCGAATGCCTTGCAGCTGGGCATCTCTGGCACTCTGCTCCTCGTAGCAGTTTATTTTACTTTAAAGTGCTCACAGCCTGTTAACTTCGGCTTTTGCAGGCAAAACATCAAAAACCAAGCAGTAGTGTGCCATCCCCTCTACAGGAGAAAGGAAGACAGCTTTGCGAAGAGCTGTTATCTAGGGCATATTCCCTGTCCGCAGTGACACCCTGTAGCTTCACTTTTCCTGCTTATGGCAAATTAGCACCTTCCTAGCCAGGGTTTGCTTAGGGACGGGGAACAGCACCAAAACAGAAAAACTTGGTGGACCTCGTCTAAAAAAATAAAAAAGCAGTAGTTTGGTGGGCGCGACAGCCCCGGAGGGCTCCGCGCCGCGCTCTGCCCGGGCAGCGGCACCTCCTGCCCGCGGGCACCGGCGGCTCGGGAAGGCTGATGGCACCTGATGGAAGAACAGGGGCTGACGGAGCCCCGGGACAGCTCCGCTGCACCGCCCTGCCTCGGACGGGGCCTGCCGAGCCCCCCCGCCAGCACCCCCGTGGGGTTCAGCCTCGGCCCGACACAACGAGGGGAGGGCAGAGGGCTTTGCCCGGCCGCGGGGACAGCGGGGGCCCCTCTCGGCCCCGCTGGTGGCGGGGAAGGCACGGCCCGCCCCGCCCCGGCCGTCGGGGCAGCGCTGGGCTGGTGCCGGCGAGCGCCGGGCACGCTGATAATAAAACCGGGTGCAGCCGATGCTGTTCAGGAGGCAGGCAGCGAGAGTGGGAAGAGGAAGGCAAAAAAAAAAAAAAAAGAAGAAGAAGAAGAAGGAAAAAATACGCCTCTTACCTTTCCTCTTTGATCTCCTCCTCCTCCTTCTCTTGGACTTGCATCTCAGCTGCCCGCTCGGTCCTCCCGACGCCCTGCCGCTGCCCAGGACGGATGTCATGACGGTACCTCAGCGAACAGCACCGCGCCGAGGTGTTCTCCTCCCGCGGAGTTTCTCCTCTTTTCTGGAGGCGGCTTTTATAGGGCGGTGGGTCGGGCCGGCGGGGCCGTGCCTGGGCTCCGCTCGGCTCCGCTCGGCGCCGCCGCGGGAAGGGTCGCGCCTCCGCCCCGACGTGCCGGGCCCGGCCGGGGCGATGCCCGGGGGCGCCGCCGCGGCTCTACCGGACCCGCGCCCACTTTTTGCACCTCTGCGAGTTGCTGGGCACCGGCCGCTTTGAAGACGATGGTGCGGGGGTGGGGTGGGGTGGGGGGGGCGAGGGGGGCGGATTTGCTGCTGCAAAGTCTCCCGCAGCCCAATCGCTCCCGCCGCCCGGCGCTGACATCAGCTCCGCCAGCCCTCGCCCCCAAACTCCTCTCCCCCGGGGCTGCCGGCTGTGCCCGGCTGCCGGGAGAAAGCGAGGGAGAATGGCCACGGAGGGAATAAAAACATCCTGCCCCTTCGTCTGGGAGAAGCCGGAGGGGCAGCTTGTAAGAAGGGAGTCTGCAGGCAGGATTTCAAGCCTTTTTTTTTTTTTTTTTTGATCTGCGTTAGACCATGTGGACACTGAACACTCCGCTTCCACATACACAGAAATGCCTCTGCTGTCCTCCCCAACCACACAGTTATTAACTAGTTCACTAATTGTGGCACTTATTATTCCCAGCGAAAGAATATGAGTTACTGTTGAAGGATCCCTCTGTCAACAAACCTTATGCAAGGGGATAAGTGTAGAGATTCCCCTTGAATCTCCAGTTATTTTTAAGGTATGTGCTCTGTTACATTCATGATCAAGGGCAAAAGCTCTGTGAAAAGAGGAGAGTGTTGTTGCTCAGACTCATACATTAACACTCTGCAGTGCCTCATTTAGGCAACTGTGCAATTAAAGTGTCGGGAGCAGAGGGGCTTTTACAGAGAGGAAAGATGACAACAGCATTCCTCTGAAAAGCTTGACTACAAAGCATTACATGTTCATTACAAAAAGCCAGGGTACACAACAGATAAGATACTGCTTTAAGTTACAAGGGACTTAACTGCTTCGTTCTTAGTTATTATCTCATTTAAACACATGTATCTGGAAACTTAGGTAGTGAGTGGAAAACGGAAGAATACCAAGGAAAATTATGTTAAATAATTAATGTCATCATTAGTGCCTACTGCATTTGTAGTTGGCTTCAGAAGCATAGCAAACCCCTGTTTATCACAAGTCCTTTAATCTAAAACTTCCTCTTGTTGGAATGTAGGTTACCTGGCTCCTGCTGCTAACCACTTCCACTGCAACTCTGCCAGCTATTAGAAACCCTCTGCGTTTGGCTGGTATACAGGTTTCTGTAATTTTTGGATGAGGCAGAGCTACACGTTACAAATTTTTAAACTAAATAAATAAGAATACTTCCACAAAACTCTCTAGAAGTCCTCATTAAACCATGATTTGGATAACTCAGGTGTGCTAAGATAATGTCACCTCTTGGCCCCTCTATCCTCCACGGAGCAGGTCACATATGGTAAGACAGTCCTACATACCCTCCCTCTCAGCTATATGGCACAGCACAAAGCATGGGGGGAAACTGCCCTCCTGTCTTAACAGCTAACGTAACAGAGCCTGAGAATTCAGACCTGCATTGCTTGAATGTCAGATATAGTTCAGGAAGCTCTGAGTGAAAGTAGGTTTTTACTTACCTAGTTTTTACAGGTTACTGGCAGGGTTTTTTTTGGCAATGTACACATTATCCAAACTGCTACATATCTTTAGTAAACATCTCTTTAAAAGTGCTTCTGTTTATTTCAGGGATAAAAACTTCTCTGCAGGAAAACAGAGAGGCGATCAGTATTTTTTTATTATCAACTTGAGCCTTCAGCCTTTAACCTTTCTCCCCTTTTCCTTTTGATTTCTGTTGTCCTGACCACAGCTGACCCTCATCTATTAATGTGGCGAAAACTTGTAGCTGTATGTGAAGTAGTACTGCTGTGGTAAAACACAACTGCATGTTCAGCTGCACATACACACTTCTAAACAGTCTGGAATTAAAGTCACTCAGTTTAGAACCCAGATTTAGGAAACTGTCTTCTATGCTTCAGTACCAATCTGTGCTCTCTCCAGTAGGGATCTGAAAGAGAAGCAAGATCCAATTAGAAGGAAAATTAGTATCCTGGGACATTCATTCATTTTTAGGAGCGGCTTCAAGCTCAGCACATTAGTTTCCAAAGGTTTTATTTCTGATAACACTTTGTTAACATACTCTCAAAATGACTGGGATTTAACATGTTAAAAAGACAAACTAGCATTGCCAACCCCTAGAGAAGTCATGCTATCAAGACAACCTGAATAGCCACCAATTCTCAGAAATTATTATTCAGTGCTAGGAGTTGCATGAACTGCTCTTCAGTTCTAAGCACAATTCTGAGAAAGTATCAGCAAGGCACCATTAGCAACAGCTGAGCTATATTGATGGCACAGCTCCCTCCTAGGCTGGTTTCAGGATTGGCAAACACATGAAGACAGCTGAAGTCATGCTGTTGGAAGGTCTCCCCTTGGCCACAAGGAGAGGTAAAAGGCAATCCTTTTCTTTATACTATCAATCTAGAAGGTCAATAAGATTCCTTCAATGGGCTGTGCTTATTCATCTTGTTCTCCACAATGGAAGGAGTTGGCTTCTTTACGCAGTGATGTACCCTGTTTAAACAGGCTTTTTTGGACTTAAATGCAAGGTTACCAGTCCCACACAAGGGGGGCTGTTTCTCCTCTCAGGCAAACATGTACATGTTTTTACGCACTATAGTAAACTGACATAAATTCAATCTAGGAAATGCAAAACCAGTATTAATGAGGTGGGAAAAAGCTAAGTTATAAAATAACGCCATCTCTCTCTCAGTTAAGTGCTTTTATCTACTCTTGGCCAATGCACTTGACAGTTTTACCATCCCACAGAAATAAGGAACTTCTTCAGTGCCCTGGTAATGATCGTTAGTGGTATTCCATGCTCCTCTCCATTGAGTAAAGCATCTTAGGATTTTTTCCTTCTCCATGGGCCAACAACCTATGGAGGTTGTTATGATTATAACCTGAACTTCCTTGAAACTGAAGTAATTCAGATTGTTCTTTATTAACTTCAAACAGAAGTATTTCAGACTATTCTAAAGGGATAACTTCACACACCTTGACTTACAGCCTGTGGAGAAATGCACATCACACCAGTGTTCAGACACCTACTCAGGCCTAGGTGAATCAGACAGGTAAGAGGGTTTAAGGTGTAAGTCCTGATGTGAAACACCTCTTCCCTGTGCTGTCTGGGGAGCTGTGACTCCACTCATGACCCACCGTAACCACTGATCCCAGCCAGTACATCAAAACCTCTATTCCTGTTTTTGTGAGATAGACAGGTCTCTCTCAGGGCTGGAGGTACCCAAGCAAGAAGTCCAAGCTTTGCAGGATTTGTGACAATTCACTTCACTCAGGTTCTCTCAAAAGAGGAGAGCTGAAGGGCAGTCCAAATAGTTTATTAACTGGAAGACTGATGGTGACTATAAGAGTATGACGGGAAGAGAGAGTATGAAACTGGATGCCAGGTTGCACACCTTAATTATACATTACTGTTTAAATTTCCATGCCTAAGCAATATAGTGTAGAGTTAGTTATAAACAGAAATGGAGAAAAATGAAACTAGCTGGAAAAAAAAGGAGCCCACCTTTATTTCAGCTAAGGACTTCAAATGAGCGACTTTACGAAAAAATTGTTGTAAAAGTTAACAAAATCTGAATACTAAGCCTGCGTGTACTACGGGTAACCAGTACTTTTTCCTTGAAAACCTATTTAGATGAAGTTTAATAGATATGAGATGTATTTTTTTCCTTTTCCCTCTGGTTTTTAAAATTTGGAGTAGCTTGATTTTCAGTTACCTGATAACACAAAAATTGTAAGTGAAACAAATTTAAAAAATTGCTACATTGCAGAAGTGCGAATATGTAAAATTATGTTGAACAGCTAAAATGTCCCAGGAAATGAACCAAAGAGTGTTGCAGCATTTACAGGGGCTGCTCATCCCAGAGCAAAAAGGTCCTGCTGAGCAGCACAGCAAGTGGAAGAAGCAAGGTCCAGACTCTGCACTTCCCAGAATACGCACAAACTCTTGAAGAAGAGGCCATCTGGCTGCGAGGTTCCCTGTTTCCAGCTGCACTGTCCATTTCCTAAGGAGCTGTGGATACTGCAAGCAGCAGACCATGGTAGAGACCTTTGCAATTTGCTGCTTGGGAGCAGACATGCCCTATAGGCTCCTGAGAGGGGACAGGGATGCAGCAGCCACTATTTTTCTCCCATCCTCTCCATCCCATTTCTATTTGCTTTTGCTCCCTCTTGCCTGTGTAGGTAGAGGAAAAAAAAAAGGACCTTTAGAATTTAGAAGATAAAAGATGCTGAAGGGCGTTAAAGCAGGACATGAATGCAATCGTGTGGCTGTGCAGGTGAGACTCCAGAGCCTTCTGCCGCAAAATGCCTGCACTAATCCAGTCTTGCCCTACTTACAAGGACCTGTCAGTGTGGTTATTTGCAGCAAAAGCCACTTTAGCTTTGGGGCCAAACATCAGAGGGTGGTGATGAGGCAATGAGGGTAGGGATCCTTATTCAGTTTATCAAGTTTGCCAGAAAAATGCCTCACTGCAGACAGATTCTCCTGTCTACTTTGCATATTCCTGCACACGAAATAGCCCAGGCTGGGTACACTGTGGTACTGCATAGCTAGAGGTTAAGGCAATGCTAAGAGGATTTTGCCCCCTCACTAAACTGCAACAGAAGTGGAGGAATTTGGGGATACAGTATTCCCTGCTATGGATAAGCCACAGCAGCCAAGTTACATCTCCCACAGGAGATGCTCCACCTCACACCTCATTTCTTCCAGACCCCGTATCTAGTCTGATGGGGGTTCACTGTGCAACACGCCAACAATAAGCAACGTCCAACTCCCTGATGAGCATGAGGTAAACATTTTAAAGCTGCTTAGACAATAGTCTCTCTAATGGGGAAAATACCTAGATGCCAAAGACTGCAAATCATTGTAATTAGTAAGTCTGTATATGCCACACAAACCAGCAGCAGTCACTGGGGATGGAACACAACTTTCTGAAAGATGTTTGTATGGGCATATTAAAACATAATTCAGCAGCTCTGACTCTTGAGGGGAGTAGAGATACAGCTCATCACCAGGAACAGTTTTGATTTTAACAGTGTTTCCTGTGTCTGTAATAAACTGCACAAAAACATGGAATGAAAATGTCCCCAAAGCAGGGATATCTGAAACCTCATTCAGCCTTTGAATGTTTCAGTCCTGACCCAGACTGGTCATAGTTTGTTGTTATGGGATTAACTTGTTCACAGACCTTCTGGAAGGCCTCCACTGTACGGATTTCTTTCTGTGCCCAGTGTCCCAATCCACTTTCTTCAACCATTGGAAAATGCTTCAAGGTGTAACAGATTATTATTATT